CCATATATTTCTAAAAATTATTCAGATATCAAATAGCCTCTTTATTTATTTTATATTCTTTGGTATAAGAACTGGATCTCCATTATATCCCAAATCCATCTAGTGAATTGAGATGGAGTAGATTGTCAGACTCCATGAGGATAGATATTCTGTAAATGACCGTGATAAAAAAATGTATTTCAATAAAGTAATATAGCACTATTTCAATAAAATAACAACTTCCTTATTTTAACTTGACATTTTAAGGTTCATAAAATATTTAAAATATGCATTTGTATAAAACCATGATATGGTTTTATTGTATCATTATAGCAAAACAACAGGGAAGATACTTTCTCTACATCCATCTTATATTTGGAAAAATAAATATGTTCAGATTCATCACAATAGACAGAGCTAGTTACTGAAAAAGTCAGAAAAAGAACTAAACTATTCTGTCATGCATACTATGCTTTTTTTTTTCAGTACTGGGCTTTAAAGTCAGGACCTCACTGTTAGGTGAGTGCTCTATCACTTAAGCTATGACCCCAGCCCTTCTTGCTTGGGTTTATTTTGGAGATAGGGTCTCACTTTATGCCTGGGACAGCCTAGACTGCATTCCTTCTATTTATGCTTCCTGCATAGCTGAGATAACAGGTACACACTACCATCCCCAGCTTTTATTGGTCGAGATGGGGTCTTTCAAACGTTTTGTCTGGGCTGCCCTTGAATCATGATCCTCCTGTTCTTTGTCTCCTAAGTAACAAAGATGGCAGACTCTAGTCAACATGCCCAGCTCTTTTTAAACTCAGCATATCATTTACATATGCACTGCACCTATGTCCTTGCAGGTGCAATATAGAATCTTCAATGTGCTTGATTTAATTTTGGTTAAACACTTCTGTTTTTGGCAATCTACCTTTTATTTCTTGAAATTAGCTTCTAAAAGGAAAATGTGTACCATCTCAATTATGCAGAACTTGTTTCCATTGAGTTCAAAATGTGAGAGGTGTTTTTCCTAATCTGATGTTTGATTTTCTCTGATAGAACCTCATTTGTGACTAGGTGTTTGATTTGTGTTGACTTATTTTTAATGTTTAAATTTTGGGGAGAGGAAACATTTACAAATAGAATTATATTGAAAATATGTAATTTAAAGATACCTGTTCAGTATTATTTTATCAGACCACTTAAAAATAAAAATTAAATTAAAATTTAAGTTCATATATTATTATGACTCACATGAATAAATCTATCTATTCTTAATGATACACCAATAAAGAAGCTGTGTTTACATGTTTAAATATCTTTCAGCCAATTTAACTTTCAGAGCTACATCACATGCGTGTAGCTGTGTTTACTAGAACTGGTTTGCTTGGGTAGCGTTTTCCCCAAATGTAATGAAATAAATTGATGAGTAAGTTCCAGTATGATAAACATTTGTAACTGTACATTACTAGTATTTTGGTTCACACATGTCACAGAGTATGAAGTCTGACAGCAAAATGAAGTAATCATGATGGTGATAGTAATAACCCACCAGGAGAGACATAGAGGCAGGTTTTCTAGATTTTGAAAAGAGGTTAAAAGCAGAAGTAAATATTATTTACTTGATTTGAAGTATTTGAAATTATCAGTGTCTGCCTACTTTTAGCAGGCAATGAAATTTTCACACATGTACATTATTATGATTCTTTAAAACACATTGACTAAAGAAACTCTTGCCATTAATTGTTATCTAAACTTGTCGCGAACACTTTCACAGATATTGAGTCTCTGTCAACTTTTACTATATAATAATTAATCTGATTTTTATGAGTATCGGTAGCTAGTCTTTTTTTCTACTGGGTGTCATATGAATAAAATAACAAATCATAAAAGAATGCTTTGGCAAATTGATTTTTATTTTAGGAAATAAAGTAAAACCATAGTGTATATAAAAAGTTCCTGAATATTTAGAAACTGGATAGATGTATGGGTGGAATGAACCGATGGATGGACAGATGGTAGATAGATAGATCAATAATAGATAGATAGATATTCACCTACCTACACAGGAAGGGATAGATGGTTGTGGGGACATAAGTGATTGATATGGAGCATGGAGAAAGTAATATGAATATTTCTATCAGTTTTTAAAGTTGGAAGGGACCCGCGTAGTCATGGCAGTTACTTAACAATATGAAAAAATATGTCTCTACAATTACAAAAATAACCCATAATACAGAATAAAAATTCTCACAATTGATGGTATTTTTTCTGCGTGGGTATAGCACATGGCCAGACTGGTTAAGCCAGTTGGTGACTTAAATGTTCTATGGCTGTGTGTTTACATTGTCACCAGCCAGGATTTTGGATCAAGTCATTCAACCACAATTCTCTTCTGTAAGTCTTCTCCATAGACAAACTACATTGTTAGAAACCACTAGCAGTGGCTTTGTAGTGTGTTGTTTGGTATGTGAGACTGCCTGTCTAATGGTGAATACATTCTCTGACAAGCAACAAAAGGAAATTGAGGAGTTCATGTACCCAGTCAAGGTTATTCTCTAAGCTTACTTGGTTCTACGAGTTTCAGAGATGTCTAAAATGTTCCTTCACTCTTTAGGTTTTGTGTCATTATCTATCTGTTCCTCTTTGCATTCTCTTGCCACCTGTAATATCATATTAAATGTTCTCATTGGGTTGGACTCAGATGACAAACACATGGAGATACAACTAATGTCATATGCTTATATTCTAATACTATTTTTAATTTAAAAAAAATGTTTTAATGGAACAGGTTTGAATGTATCTTAGATGACAAGATTAAAATGTGACCTCCATAGTAAACTGTAAAAATGTCTTGGTGACAGTTTTGAAGAGGATGAGATGAGAATATAAAATAAAATAAATGGGTAAGAAAGTAGAAGATGTTAAACTTTACTAACTACAGATGCAACAAAAATAGTTATTCAGGAATTAGATGAAGAAAAGAATGGAATTCTACTGTAGATATGAAGAGCCTTAAAGGCAAGAATAAGGAAACATAGGGCCTGAGGAAGTAGCTCAGTGGTAGAGCATTTACCTAAGGTGGATGAAGCCCTACTTTGATACTCAGCACCAAAAGAAAATTAAAAAAAGAAAGAAAAAAGGTAGAATAGCTTCTTTGTCATGTTTTCAATGACTTCTTCCTTCCTCTCTTTCTCCCTCCTTCCTTCCTTATTTTCTTCCCTTCCTCCCTCCTTCCTTCCTTCCTTTCCTTCCTTATTTCTTTAGACAGGGTCTTGCTATATATCCCAAGCTGGCCTTGAATTTACCTTCTTCCTGCTTCAAGCTTCGGAGTCTGGGATTACAGGCATGACCATGAAGCCTGTCTTCATTGAACACTTAAAAGCTTCATCTAACTTCTTTGTTTTTTGATTTTTGTCTAACCTGTTTAACTGCTTTTGAAGTTTTCTCTTTATTAGTTTGTACTCTGATGTGTCAGTACAACAATTCCAGCTTTATTGAGAACTAAATATTTGTGTATCCTACTAAAATGTAATGAACTTTTAAGTACTATTATTAAGTAATACGATAAATTGTTATTTTCTTTCATATCTTGAGTTTCTAATAATGCTTAACATTTGAATAACATATAAACAGAAATACATTGATCTTTACCAAACTGTTGCATATAATTCAGATTACCCAAAATGCATGTTTTACATGATATTAATAAATACTCCAAAGAAGCATTTCTTGGTTTTTAAAACATTGCATCTGCTCTATATCTCCCTCATACAGTTTTACAGAGTATATTTGCATATTAGTGGCTCTGAGAGGCCGTAAATAAACTGATAACACTGATGATGTTTAAACCAAATTTGTTTTGTAAACAGTCTGAGAAATGCCAAAATATAATTCATCGAATGACCGAATTTATATATTTATTTATTATTTTTAGCATGTTTTCATTCGTATATGATAGGTTTCATAAGTGACATAATCATACATATGTTTATATGTATTGTACCTCCATTAATGGATAATGTTATACTGTTATATCAGTTAAGATAAAACTTAATAGCACAAAAAGGATCTCTTCTTGCTCTTACTCCCTTAATTTGTTAAAGATTTGGGTGGTAATTCACTAAACTTTAAAACTACAGACCGGAAACTAGATTATTAGCTTCTTCCCCACTATTCCCCCCCGTTCATCTAAATGAAACCTGTCTATAATCTTAATCCCCTTCTTTCCTTTTTTTCTTAACATTTAATCTCATGATCCAAAACCTCTCTTGACCCATACCCTTACTAGTTGGGGAGCAGTTTTACTTAAGCCTGTCTAGTTTTGAATACTTTCCAGCTTCACCTTTTTGTACTCCCTGTCCATCTGCCCTTTTTTCAACATCCTAGCCCTCTGAAGTCTTTCTTCAGAAAGTTCCTCTTTCTACCCTGTGTCAATCAACTCAGCCTACTCTTTCTTAGTTTTCCCATCTATTACAGAAATACAAATGTGTGTCAAATTGTAAATAACATTCCCCTCATGGGGCATATTGTCATTTAAATATGGAACGATACATGTAGCTCACAGAACTGAGTCTTGGGTAGCATAATTCCAGCTCCCAACAGATAATGTACTCCTTATTCCATTCAGTTCTGTAGCTCCACACTGAGTCCTCTGATGGAGGCCTGGATTGTTCTTCATCTCATGGTCTGCTGGGTCCTACAAACAGCTTTCAGGAGTGACTGATGACTAGGGTGTAAAATACCAGTGTCTTTAATTTGAGAAACTACACTAGCAGCAACAATGACAACAATAGGAAGCAGCTTCTTTGTATTAATTCATGTGGACATCTACCTTTGATGTAGAAATAGTGACTTTGATGGCTTTGGAGAAACTGTTTTTCAGATCTATTATCTGTGTGGGGTTTCCAACCACATCTAAATGTGGCAATTTCACATTTTTGCCTTTCTTGAATACCCATGCACCATTCTGCATTCTACTGGCTGTTTCCAAAGTGCTTCTCGGGAAATCTGTCAATGTGTTTGGTTGGTTTTAAAGATAGCTACCTAAAAAGTAAGCCAGTGCCTGTCTTTGCCCACAGGGGTGCGTCTTGACAGAGTACGTGGAGGTCGGCAGAAGTACAAGCGCAGAATAGATGCAGAGAACAGCCCATACCTGAACCCTCAGCTCGTTCAGCCAGCCAAAAAGCCATGTAAGTACAGCAGAAGTGTCTGGCTTCCCAGGACATAAGCTCCTCCCATTCAGCTTTGTGTACATCAGTGTTGGCATAACCATCTCTACAGACTCCAAGGAGACTTCTGTTTCTTGGAGAACAGTGGGAATAGAGATTGTATTTTCTGTGAAAAGCAATGGCAACTCAACTAATTATCTTTTTTTGTCTTTTAAAAATGTCTATTATGTACTCTCCTCCAACCTTTCAGCACCTAGTCATTTTGTGCATGCATGAGCATATTAATACCTCACTGATATAGTGTGAATTTTACATTTACTGGTTATCTTTATTTGCAGAGGTACATAAAATAGATCATACTGTGATCATTAGTTCATTGGAGCTGTTCGTTTCAGATTTCACAAGAAAGTGATTTTTGTAGTTTTTCACTAAGTAAATGAGTTTGGCTGCTCAACCTCCCAATGAAAATACATTAGGGGCCTCATTAATTTGGAGCTATAGAAGGTTAACAGCTAGCTAGCAATAGATTAGAACAAGAATTATCCCTACTAATAACAAGCATAGGTTGGTGGTTCCATCTCAGGTGCCCTTATGGGCATGATGAATTGTTTTTAAAGAGCCCATGGTTTTATGATGCCAGGTTACAATGTGAAAGAATGACTGGTACATTGCTACAGTGCAAACCCCATTCTCTTTGTCATTAACTAAAAAGAGCTGGAATACAGATTGAGGCAATAACTATATCCTATTTTCTGAAAAATCAGTTAATAGCTGTAGTGCAGCAGAGCTAGCAAAGTAGAGTGTCTATGCATGAAATTCACACTAGGCACTGGGAGGTGCTGTGGTGGAAGAATCCCCGCATTTAGCTCTCTTTGTCACAGAAGTCACAAGCCACATTTGCCAGAGAAAGTCGCCACTTTAGCAGTTATAGAAAAGGCGTGGGAAGAGAAAGTGTCCACTTCTAATTTGGATTGTCCAGGAGAGGTCACTGCTGTGCACCATCCATATGAGCATATGGGAATCTGTTAAATAAATAAAACAGACCCTGAGCTGTAAATGAAAGGACATTTTAGCTATGTCAAAGGAAAAACAACCAGTTTTACATAAAAGTAAAGCTTCAGTGAACATATGGCATAGTTTCCTTTTGCCGTTCCAAAAAACATTATGTTGATTATACCTTCAATTGTCCAATCTGGCATCTCCTCCTCAGCCGGCATAAGCTGTTTGGCCTTCTGCAAATACAGTCCAGGACTGCATTAAGCAGATTTTGCACATTATAATAAAAAAACTTTCTGATAATACAATAAAATGCAATAAACACTAATGCTTAATTTCATTAGAGGTTTAGTTTTCCTTGATTCGGTAATGTACAGGCTGTCCATTTCTCATTTATTTTATGCAAACATTGACTGAAACCATTGATAATTTCCTCTAAGAAAGCAAAATGAGCACCAGCCCATTTGTTCAACACAGTAAAGGAACATCTATCGTTTTGTGTGTAAACCTGAAAAATAGGAAGTGGTTTGTCAAGTACCTTTAAGAAGATTACAGCAATTTCAGTGAGCTCCATTTGTCTGAGATAAAGAGGACTCCTAATAAATCATTACTCATTATCTAAAGGCCTCCGTGTTAATTTTCCTTAGTCCATCCAATTAGCGTGTTTTTGTAACAAACATTTATAAAACTTAATTTTCAGATCTTGTCAGATAAGTGTCAAGAGACTGTATGGGCTTTTCTGAGGAAGTGGCTAGGGACATTTCTGCACCCTGATTGTTTGTGTACTATAAAGGCCCAAGAATGAAAATTGGGTTCTATTGATTCTAATTAGGAAACATTAAATAAGATTTACCTAGAAACAGTGCTTCTGGCTATTCCATTTTCTGAGCGATGGGAATTTCTAAGCTTCTACCAAATTTCTCTGACACCTCAAGTCAAGTATCCATTGACTTGGGTAAAACAGATTGTATTTTTCCTGTCTTAAAAAAAGAATCCAGAATCCTGATTTCCTTTGGTTACATTTTTGTGCCATTACTTTTGCATTTTCTTCCCATCCTGAGAATCTCCTTTTTGCTGACAGGTTTTGTCACATTGTCAGAGTTGGGAAAGTGGAGACTTTTCCAAGCACAACCTAAAAATACAGGGTGTTGTTTCTGTACTGTATATAAGAAATACATGCCATTCTTTGCACATCTTACAAGTTAAGATAGAATCTATACAATATTATTACTTTCTGGAAAATGGGATATTGGGAATGTTTCCTCCTAAATCTGCATATTCAATTGAATGATCTTTGGATGTTACTGCCAATGACTGGTGATCTGATGACTTTGAAATAAATATAATTCCTATGGTCATAGTAATAAACTGCAAATCTCAGATCAGAAAAAGTGCTAGTTGTGGCTTGGATAAGTTTCTTTGTCATTTCCTTAGAACACTAAAAGAATACAAATTACAAAGTTAATTCTAACTTTGTAGTATTGTCATTTTGAGTGAAACCTGTTGAAAACTGAGAGTGCCAGGCAAATGGTCTAGTAAATACAGTCAAAACTTTGACTTTGCTCACAAGGATCCTATTAAATGCCCTGCTTTCCTAGAATAGTACTACACAGAACATTTAACTATGCATGTTTATTCTTACCCATTTGTATGTCCTCACTTAGAAGAAAGTATAAAATTGAAAGCAACATACAGAAATTGAAAATTGGGCCAACAAGAAAAATCATTCCTTGAGCCAGGTTCACAACCCTTCCTATAAACTCTCCATGCCCATGAGCAATCGAACACATTTCATGGGATGTTTTCCATTTGTTTCTAGTGTTTATTTTAGGAAAGATTTTAAAATATATATCACAAATTTCAGACAGATAAATCTGAACCAGAAAATGAACTACTAAAGGCAACAGATGAAAATCAAAGATTAAAGAATTAGGCACTCGGAAGGAAAAATACTAGAAGATTATAGGTAGGAGGATTTTTATGGAAACTGATAGTAACTATATTTAGAAGGTTGGCTGGACATGTGGAGATTGGGAGAAAGGAAAGAAATTCCTATTTAATGCATCCCATAGAGATAAAATTATATAGTCAATAATTCACCCAGGCAGAAGGGCCCTGACCTCTGCTCTTTAAAGGAATAAAGACAATTAATGACTTCCATGCACATTGTGACTGTGAGCATAAGTAGTTCTTTGCTTTCTCCATTAGAGCCTATAGTTCAGTGATTTTTCTCTAGGTTTTTGCATTAAAGCTGTGTATACTGTTTAATCAGCTTCTCCAAATTCCATGTAAGAATCAAAGAACAAACCCAGAAGGCATCTAACTTTTCTTATCTGTTTGCTATAAAAGTCTTCACTGCCCCACAGATGCTTCAATTCTAGCAAAAGCAGGTAAAGCAAAGAATAAAGGAATACATCCCATTAGGACTGCAGGGGCTTATTTCTTTATGCGAATTTTCCTGGACACTGTTTATTACATACGTATTGGGCCATAAATGAAATATTTTGGGTTTACTGTAGATTATTTGAATTATTGTTTAAAATCATAAAGTACTATAGGGTTTGTATTAGAGCGATGATACTACTAGTGATCCTGTAGTGCTCTGGTCTGATCCTGCAGATAACAAGATTGTCTCACATTTGTTGGTGGCTGAACCAGAGAAGATCTATGCCATGCCTGACCCTACCGTCCCTGACAGTGACATCAAAGCCCTCACTACACTGTGTGACTTGGCTGACCGAGAGTTGGTGGTTATCATTGGATGGGCGAAGCATATTCCAGGTACAATTTCTGAAAAGCAAAAGAAAATAAAAGATTGCAGTTAATTCTCTGGATTACATATGTAGATTTGGATAAATTAAAATTTTTCTCATGGGATTTTTTTAACCTTTACACTTGTTTTTTTTCACAATTAAGATCTTTTCTGATCTTTACAATCATGAATCCTTGTATATTGGTAACAAAAACTTTGGGTTTTTGTTGTTTTTTCATATGTGAAGGTATTGTTGCCAATAAAATATAAGAATATAACTTTTAAAAAATTTATTTATTTTTTTTTTACATTCTGAGTGTTTTTTCCTCCTTTTTATTTTTACTTTAAAAATGTTATTGTCAGCATTAGTGTAATGTGCCTTTCTCTCTTGTAGGAATCACCCATTTGTTGTTCCTGGGGTTATTTATATTGAGTTACTCTTCATATATAAGTTTTGCTTTGGTTAACAAGGACACATTTACCATGAATTTTTATATAAATTGTGAAAATAAATGTTAAACTAAGGTGATAAGTTTTCTCATATGATAAATTAAAGTTAGTATTTTAAAATATTCTATTACATTTTTCCTTCACTTATCCTAACATGTCAAAACAACAGATATCTGATCACAAGTTTTGAGAATTTTTGTATTCTACCTGCATTATTTTTTATTTATTTGGACTTTGATCTCCAAATAGTTTATAGACAAGTTTTTGAATGATAAGCAATGTTTTTCTGGTACAGTTAACTTATTTCTGTCTCCTTAAACTAGTTTGTCTTTATGCTTTGAATGCTACAGTAATTTCTTTAATCAAATTGATGGAAGTTCCTTTCCCAGCCCACACTGAAACCAATTTATTGGTCATGATACGCCAGCTATGTTGCTAACAGTCGTAACGAACTGTCAGGCGATATCGCAGTGAAGCTAATTTGAAGTCATTAGGTGTGCAGCGTTCAGGCGACAATTTGTTACAGTGGTTAGGAACACAGCTGACATTTCTGAATGGCTTTGTTCAGTGCAGTTCTAGATGAGGCCAAGCAAATTGTAAACTAATTTAAACATCACTCTGTATTATACCAGCTACTTTGTCTTACACTGCTTGCTAATAAAGCACCCCAAATTAAGTCAAAACTAGTTAAATAGGTGAGCTTGAGTGTATTTTTTAGAAAATACTCACAAGATGGTTACTATGTCTCAAGGAAGAATGAGAATTTGATCCTGTGGATGGTTGATGCTGCTTTTGGATTGCAATCAAATCTATATGAGTTACACAAAAAGGATAGACTAAAAGATTTGAAGACATTTGGGAACTCTGGCAGTGAGGATCTCCAGAATTCTCCCGAACAGTATATGAAAACTCATTGTCAGGAGAGTGTTATTGAAGGGTTTTAAAATAGAATGAGCAAAACTAGCATTTGTTGAAGTATTATAGATACCTTTTTTCATTGCTAAACCAGAGCCTTTTAATTATCCAATATGATTTTGCAAGAGATACTTGTTTAATATAATCAAGATATGTCATTTGTATTAGTGTAGTATGTCAAAACATCACTATTCTAAGCTAGATTTCCCAGTCTTGCACTACTGATATTTGGAACTAGATAATTCTTTCTTGTAGGTAGGTGACTGTCCTGTTTCTTATAAGATGTTTAGTAACATCCTTGGTTCCTACCTACTAGATGCCAGTAGCACCCCTAACAAATGAAAACACCCTTAGATATTGCCATCAGTCCTCAGGGGGGCAAAATTTCATCAGCACATCCCTCCTGCCCCCCCAGTTGAGAAGAACTGTGCTAACCCAGGAAACAGGTAATATTATCCTCAGTTCAAAGGCAGATTTGAAGCAGGTAAACACATGCACAAGTTCACCAGTGTATCCAGTGCTTTCAAAACTTATATTCAGCCTGGCTTCCTGGAATAAAATCAGGACATTGTAGTCTCCTAGGAGATTGTATTTTAATGAGCCATTTCAAAATGATAATGATATTATTAATATTATTATTGTTATCACTAATTATTAATGACAAGAGTGTGAATATCTACATCACTATGATTCCAATTCACCCATTATTTCATGAACCTGTTCAAATCTCCCTGAATAAAGGGATTTGGTAAGACAATATTTTAATATCTTACAGACATTTATAATAAAGACCAGTAAGAGTCAACAGCTCTTTCCAAGCATTCTGGTAATGAAGTGCCAATGATAAATTTGTAGTTCTTGTTGTGCATTTAAGTGGAACCATTAATTTATAAAGGAACTTGTCATAGTAAAGGGGCTCTGATGACTTTTATAAAGATGGTAACTTTAAATAACCATAAGTAACACCATTTCCAGTGTTGGAAACAATGACTTTACGATTATGTGCTCAGCCTGAAGCTGAAACTGAGAAGCAGTGGGGACTGACCTTAGTCTCTTTCCATGCCAAATGCCAGAGCAGGTCACTATAGAATGATGATTCGCAGCTCTGATTGTCATGATGCCTGGAGTGTTTTTGAAATGATTGTGAGGAAATCTTGACTTTTCAGAAAGGGATTAGTAAAATAAGAACTAACTGAAAATTTAACAACACGTGTGCCAGACAGCACTTTGAAGTGGTAGAAGGATAAGGTGCTCTGAGTTCCTGGGCATCAGAGAACCACACAGAACCATGTGGAGTGTGGGACAGGGAGGTAAGGCAAAGAAAACAGAAAGATTAAAGTCACATTTCTCCCTTGATAAAAGTAAAATCATGTTCTTGATACATGAACCAGTCTTGATAAGTGGGCTCAGACCAGAATTAAAAGCAAATCAGTACTGAAATTTCCCATTTTAGTCTTAACTTCAAAACTCTTCGTTTTTGTAAAGTTTACATTGAAAGGAAAGTGAACTCTTGTGCTAAAAAATTTGAGGCATTGTTATTTTTATGCTGTTTTTAGTTTGTGTACACACACATATATTTTAACATCTAAGATCAGATCCGTAGCCCTTCTGCACTGCTCTAAATGTACTTTTGTGCACTTGACTCTGCTACATAAAAAGTGAAGAATTCAAAGAAAGAAAATATTGAAGAAAAATACATATGGAGTGGGGTTTTATCAGTAAATAGAATTAGTTGACTTACATTAATAAATCACATAAATGGGAAAGTGTGTTGTTATGAAACATGACCATACTTTATCTATAGAAGAAAAAAGATCATGAGGGCTTTAGAAAATGCTTGACTTTAGCTGGAGGAGCATAAGGGCACAAGAACAGATGATGGTGCCCTAATAGCCCTTTTTAAGAATGACAGGGCCCCGCCATTAGCATCCTTTTATATCCTTGGAAATTGCTCATGCCTCGCTTTTCTGGTTCCTATCTGCCTGACTCTTTTTTATTTCTCTTTCAATTTCGTCCGCGCTCGGATAAGCGCATGCTAACACAATATGATTGAGCTGTAAAATGGAACGCTGTGGCCTCTAATCTCCTTTATGTAGATACGGAGGTACTGCACACTCGACTTCATTCTCTCTCCATTGTTGGCCTTTTTTAGAATGGGCTGCCAAGTAATGGAGGCTCCATCAAATATTAGAGCTAGGTTTCACAGGGTGTGATAAGACGATTATCAGCCCAATAGTCCGATCTATTATTGTTCTTTGTGGTTGATTAAAATACTATTGTATACACACACTGGAATTTTGTTAGCAAAATGCAGAATGTGCTTCCTCAGATGGTTCTTATAAAATCATAACCCATATTAGCTGATGTATACAAGTGGCTTAAATGTATTTACAGGTCTTACCAGACAGCTTACTTTTAAAGAACAGAAAGGTATTTGAACAATTAAATTAATGAATGTAGCTATGAAAGCATTTTTCCTCTTTCAATATGGCAGAGTTTCAGATTGCCTTATTTATTTTTAACATGGCATATAAATACCTATTGATGAAGAAGGACTTTGTGCAAGTTTCAGAACCTCTTAGTTACATTCTTAAAATGGTATCTGTTGTAATGACATCAAACAGGAAAATAAAAAGCCTACCCAAGTGGATACAGGAGATAGGAAGTTCTAAATGAAAACCACACCAGGAAGGTGATGTGATAAAATAGTCTTTTGCTATATTTCTTTTTGTAAGAAACAGAAATCTAAGCTATAAAACCAATATTTTCCATTTGCACTAAAATGTTTTTTGTTAAAAGATTCAGTTAAGAGAATGTATCAAAAATTGCTCATTGACTTGGCTTTTTATAGTTTTCTCAGCAGAGGTATTTAGAGTTTTCTGCAATGACAGAAATCTGTAAATAGCATGGACTAAACTGTTTCTGTGTTGTGGTATATGTTTTGCAGAAGAATAACCAGGAATGTTTGAATTTTTATTGCTGAGGGCACTGTTTGGAGATATATTAATTGTTCAAACAAATAGTGTAGAGACATCAATTATTAAGATCCTATGATTCCCCCAAGTAAAGTTGTAGAAATTTTATTTTTAAAATACTCATTACTGCATATTGGTCAGAAAAATACCCATCATAAACTTGTAGCACTGTAAGTCATTAGGGTATGTTTGAAAGTACAAATAACATGGCAGAAATAATTACTGTAAGGTTGCGTTTCCATCTGTAATTCACAATATGCTTCCTTAAAGAACGTGTGTGATCATGGTTTGATGTTTAGGAGGCAGGGATGGTTGACTAGGATGAGTCATAACAAATGTAAGTACCACTTCATAGTTTATTTTGAATCTATGTCATTGGAACTTGGTAAATGTGTACTGATTGGTTGATTTTAAATGTGCATAGCACAAAAGTATAATTGGCCTTGAGGCTCTTCCCTCCAACCCATTCCATAACTAAGTTTACATGTAATTATAATTTCTACTGTTCTAAGCATCAATTTTTAGCCTGTTTTCTCAGGACTGAGTTTTCTTTTTCTTTTGTTTATGCAACTTGATATCAGAACTATGAAGTAGTAGAAGTTAGTTAAGAGAAGAAAAATTATCTATAAGACACACAGCCCTGGCAATTCTTATAACTTAAGTTATAAGAATATTCAATTATCAAATAT